AAGGAGGAGAAAGCTCATCCAATGAATACAGCAAAACCTTGCTGGTCCAAAGGCTGATAATCTCTCCAGTAAACAAACAAAAAAAAATTAATAATCCAAATCAAAAAAAGTGATTAATAAGGCTCAGTCAAGCTTAATGTCTGCAAAAGGCTGCCTTGTAAGTGTGAGCTTGATGAAATCCCGACTCCCAGCTTTTCTACTCATAAGTCAACTGCAAAATGACAGTTTCCATGGTCTACTCATGAGTAGCGGCCATCTGGAGTCATGTGGATAATCTCAGTCCTTCCAGAGAAATTTCACCAATCCAAATCCAGCATCCAGCCATGATTCTCCTTGCAAAGCTGTCCTGCTAACGAGCAGCATGTCAGCTCGCCATGGTCCTCACAGGAAGTCCCCTCAGAAGCAAGTCTAGTTTCTGGTGATCAAGTGTATTGATCTTTTCCTTGTTATAAGGTTCTGCCTGTGAAGATGGCAACATCAAGCTCTTTTTACCCATTTTCTTGATGTTTCAAACAAAACAAAACAAAACAAAAGCTATGGCATGGTTCTCACCCTGTCCAAATGATAGAGGATGAGTGGAGAAAGGGAGATTGCCAGCTGCCCAGGATCATCCTAAGAGGACCTGCTGCCTGAGTAGGCAGGAGCAGGACTTGCCTCTTGAGATGGAAGATGGACCAGGACTCTCCCCATCATTCCCTTCTGCGTGCCTCTGCTACTCACTCATTGCCCAGATGGTCTGTAAACAAAATTCTGAGGAACTCTCAGAGTGATGTAAACTGAAGTGATTACAGCAGCTGTCTGTGCAATATCGTTTCCACAGACATGATTTCACAATGCATTTCTCCAAGGATGTCTTTCATTATAATTATAGCCTTAGTTATAATGAAAGACCTGATCTGGGTAGCAGGTCTGTGGGCAGTGGGTGGATCACTGTCTGCACTAGTCTGTAAAAACATAATTTTATGAAGTGGTAGAGCTGGTCTTGTAGCACCTCTTACAGGCAGCCACTTTCAAATGTTGGAGAAAGCAAAGGGATGCTGGACCTGAAACTGAATTATTCTTTTTATAGTATCCTCTAGTAACTGAAATAGCATCTCAATTTTGCTATCTAAGAAGAGACAAATTTGGAACACTGTCTCTTGGGTAATTTTGTTCACATCCAACTGTTTCCTTACTCAAAGTGCAAATTCTATTCAGTTTTTACACAGAACCCCATGAAATAAGTGTCAGTATTCCATTCCTACAAATAGATTTAAGAATGAGAAAAGTGACTTTAAAATAAAACATTTCTCTTTGTGATTGTCAATTCTTAATTAAGATCAAATGTAAAAATGTATACACTGAAGGCTGAGGATTTTTAGAAGAATTTGGGACCATTATAAATAATTGTATAGTGCTGGCAATTTGCAGCAGTCCCCTTCTATGTTGAAAACCTGCCTACATAAGAAAATTTGCTTAGAACCCTTGTTGGAAATGAATCAATCAAATGCTCTCAAATGAGGGATAATAGATTTGAGCTAGCATCATGTTTATTTGGGTAGAGTAGGTAGATTTCGAAGAACAAAGTATAGCAATGTCAAAAAGATAGACTATTTAGTGATGTACAAAGTGACTAGGTTAAAATTAAAGGGAAGTGTGGCTGATCCTACCAGAAGGTATCCAGGAATCATGAAAGGTTCATCTGACAAAAAAATACTATATGAATTTCATACTGAAATTAAAATCAGTGAGCCCATTCTGCTTTACTTATGTAACTTGTGTAATAAAACAGGTCAGGCTGTTAGAAAGTTTAAAAATACACTACATGCTAAGCCACTAATAAAGTTTTTCAATAAGTGAATAATATTTGCTGTATGTATCCTTGCACCATTCTTCAGGTTTGAAATATTGTAATGAAAATATTCTTGCAGTAGCTGGAATTTCTATTTTTTTAGATTTTTGAAGTTCTATCTTGAGTACATATACTGCAGTTTCCAGAGCTTGCTACATGGCAAAAGGATCTCATTTTTTCTGCTAGACAATATATTGTTGTTTCAATTTCATTTTATATGTAGCAGATGTTAGATTTTGTACATTTGTGCATCAGGTATGACCAAGTTATGGCAGAGGTTCCATTGGCAGGTGCCTGTGGACAAATAGAAAGCGACATCCGTTCCTGCCCTCCAGAAACAGTTGGTGGCCCATACTCATAATGGGGCAACGTTGCATGCAGTATTATTTATATTGCACTTGATTAAACACTGAACAGCTTAATAATGCATGCCCAGTGAGCACTGGATAGGAAAAACAAATGCAGATTGGGAACTTCCAAAACCTGGAGTGCATTGTCAGCATGTCCAGAATTATATTCACTTCAGGATTATATCCTAAATGACCGGCAGGCATCAGAGCAACCTGTACTATGAAGCTAACCTCTGAGAAATACAGGCATCGGAGTAGGGTTCCCCAGTTGAAATTCTGAGAGGGGTTTTAAGTTACATGCAAATAATTTAACTATAGTTTTCTTCGGTTTTATTGTTTCACAATGCTGCAATAACAGAAGAAGCCAAACAGGATTATTTACAGTTTTAAATTAGGCCTAGTTTCCAGCCTTTCAGGTACCTATGCAAAGGAGGCAGAGAAGGAATTGGAAAGGCTCAAGTTGAGCTGTGGAAATTTCATCTGTTTAGTATTTAAGGAAGCTCCTAAGATTACCAATCAAGACAGGTACTGTGGCTTCCTTTTCTTAATGGGTTTTTTTTTCATGGCATATAAAAAGCAGTGGGGAAACACTGACATCTGGACTCACACCCTTCCCAGAAACGTTTGTAAATGAGGGAGAGCAATGGGACAATAACTTGTCTGGCCCTATCCTTTCTCTGCGGGTGGTTTTTCTAAATCTGCTATATGAGTTCATTCACACAACATACCAAGTCGAGAATCAAACAAACCACATGG